CGCCCGCTACCATGCCTGGCTAATTTTTAATAGAGATGGGGTTTCAACATGTTGGCCAGGCTGGTCTTGAATTCCTGACCTCAATTGATCCTCCTGCTTTGGCCTCCCAAAGTGCTGGGATTACAGGCATGAACCACCACATCTGGTCTAGAACTGCTCTTTCTGAAATCCCAAACCTCTATATTATACCTCTGACCCCAGCCTGCTTTTTAGCTCTCTTGCCTTCCTACATTTCGTACATTGTCTCTCTCTGCTCACATACAGCCACTTGCTGTCTTCACTCCTCCCTTACCTAGTCTCCAGCCCATTGTTTAGCCCCTGGCCACTATTTCTTTTCTTCTCTCTCTCTTTTTTTTTGAGACAGGGCCTTACTCTCTCCCAGGCTGGAGTGCAGTGTTGCGATCTCAGCTTACTGCAGCCTCCGCTTCCCAGGTTCAAGTGATTCTCCCACCTCAGCCTCCCGAGTAGCTGAGATTACAGGTACCCACTGCCATGCCTGGCTAATTTTTAGTAGAGATGAGGTTTCAATATGTTGGCCAAGCTGGTCTCGAACTCCTGACCTCAGGTGATCCTCCTGCCTTGGCCTTCCAAAGTGCTAGGACTACAGGCATGTGCCATCACACCTGGCTAATTTTTGTAATTTTGGGTAGAGACAGGGTTTCACCATGTTGCTAAGGCTGGTTTTGAATCCCTGACCTCAGGTGATCCACCTGCTTTGGCCTCCCAAAGTGGTGGGATTACAGGCATGAGTCACTGCACCCAGCCCCCGATTACTCTTTCAATTCCTACTTTCAATCATCCAGAACCTTGGACCTTAAGTCTCATCCACTGGCAAAACCTAACAGTGAATCAATCAAATTCTGTTCTTACATCTTGAGAGCTTTTTAGGAGAATTGTAGCACTGTTTGGATCAATGCCACTACCAATCTGTGGCCTTGACAAGGCCCTCCCCATACCCACTGGTCCTACCTGTCAGCCTTCTCCCCATTCCACAAGTCAGCTTTGTCAAGCCTTTATGGTCTCCTCAAGTGATTCTCCACCACCCATTCTTGGTCTTGCCTTAAACTTAAAAAGACAAAACAAAACAAAGTCTACAAACTTGTCTTCAGATGCTGTAATCCTTGTCTCCTTTCCTGTTGTGTGAATGGAAGAAGCATCTCCCCTCCTGGAGGAGGTTAGTTCCTCCGACGTCTCTCATTCTCTCTCACTGCCTATGGACATCCCCCACTGATTACCATTCCCCTTTCCTTTATATTCTTTCTCTTTTTCTTCTTCCTTTTCTTTCCTTTCCCTTCCTTCTTACCTTTTTCTGTGGCCCAGAATGGAGTGCAGTAGCACAATCTTGGCTCACTGCAGCCTCTGACCTCCTAGACTCAAGCAATCCTCCCACCTCAGCCTCCTGAGTAGCTGGGACTACAGGCACATGCCACCATGCCTAGCTAATTTTTGCATTTTTAGTAGAGATGGGGTTCTACCATGGTGCCCAGGTGGATCTCAAACTCCTGGGCTCAAGTGATTCTCCTGCCTCAGCCTCCCAAAGTGTTGGGACTGCAGGCATGAGCCACCATGCCTGGCCTCCTTTATTTTCAACTTTCTCTTCTTACTGGCTCTTTCTTTTCTTTTTGTTTTGTTTTTGAGATGGAGTTTCTCTCTGTCCCCCAGGCTGGAGTACAGTGGCGCAATCTCGGCTCACTGCAAGCTCCACCTCCCAGGTATATGCCATTCTCCTGCCTCAGCCTCCCGAGTAGCTGGGACTACAGGTGCCCGCCACCATGCCTGGTTAATTTTTTGTATTTTTAGTAGAGATGGGGTTTCACCATGTTAGCCAGGATGGTCTCGATCTTCTGACCTCGTGATCCGCTCGCCTTGGCCTCCCAAAGTGCTGGGACTGCAGGTGTGAGCCACCGCGCCCGGCCTTGCTGGCTCTTTCTACTCAGCATGTAACTATGCTTGTCTCTCCTATAATAAAATATCTTTCTCAGTCTCGTGTCTTCCTCTGATTTCATTACCTTACTTACTTTTAGAAGTAGTCTAAAGTCCTGAATTTTTCCATTCTTCTTTTTTTAACCTACAGAAATCTACCTTTCCTCGTTACTCCTCTGAAATAAACTTGCCTAGGTTATCACTGCCTACAAGCTTTCCCTTGTAGGAAAGCTCCTCCCTGTAGTATCTCACCATGCTGATCACTTCCTCCTTGAAACTTTCTCCTCTGCGTGTCCATGAATGACTCTCATTTTTCTCTAACCTCTCTTTATCAGTTTATATGTTAGGCTATGTTCCCTCAGGAGCAATCAGACAAGGATTGAATGCACGCAGTTTACTTGCGAGGAGATCCTAAGAAACACTGGCAGGGGAATGGGGAGGTGGGGCAGGGAAAGGAAGGAAGACTGTATGGGGAGTGCTAATGAGCAGGGGTGGCTGTGGGCAATCCGGGTTCAGTTCCACTGAGGAAACACTGGGACACATGGAATGTACACCTCCAAGTGGTTCCACATGAGGAATAATGAGTTGGGCTGTTTGATCCATTGCTGGGGAGGAAAAACTTTTCCTCTTAGGTTCAGTTCTGAGGGGCTGCAAATTTAACTGACAAGAGAAAAAATATATATGCATATGGCAGTGCACAAAAGATGATCATTTATTTACCTAAATTAATGGGGGGGGGGGCGCAAAAAGACTCCTGTGGGAAGAACGAAGGGAGATAAGGAAGTTTGTGATCATGTTTGCTTATGCAGGTGCACATGGTCTTCTATTTTATGTCCATAAGCCCCTGGAGAGGGGATGAATGGCAGCCTCATTCTCAGAAGCTTCTGCTTTTACTGAAATAAAGGAAGCTTCGAGAAGGCTTCTTTTTGCCTCTATTGAATCTTAAATGTCTTTAGTTTAAAATAATCCTCATGCCAACTTTGGGGTTGAGAGTGCATCGTCAAACCAACAATTCCCCAGCATCCCTGGATGAGGGCTCTTTCTGGAGGTGTTGGCTCCTTGGTAATTGTAGCCTGCCTTTCCTGCTGGCTGCTTGCTCCTTCTGTTGGAAAAAGCTTAGGCAGCGAGTTCAGGAACAAATGCTGAGTGTCAAGGGGACGCAGGCTACTGCCTATTTTTCTCTTACCCCACTTGCTTATTTAATGTGGGTATTTGCCAAGGTTCTTTCCCCCCCACCTCCGCTTTTTCACACTCTCCATTTTTGCCAGGTAATCTTATCAACTCTCAGTTACCTAACACTCTGATGTAACACAAATCCACATCCCTTCCCTTCTCATGTCCCTCAAGGTCTAGACCTGTATACCGAATACACCTGCCTGTTGAGCATCTTACCTTGGGTTGTCCACTGCAAACTCAACATAAATAATATTGGGGTTGTAGTCCCTCAAATCCTGTTTATTTTCTGTTATTCCCCACCTTGTCTTGCTTTTCTAGAAATCCATTCTTCTCATTGCTGCCAGGGTTTTTTCTAAAACACCTATCCTACAATATGGCCAGGTACTATTTTAGGTGGTAGGGATACAGCAATGAACAAAACAAGGTTCCTGCTTTCATGAGCCTGAATTCTATAGCCAAATATATAAAACAATAAAGAAGAAAAATATCAGTGGTAAGTTCCATGCAGACTGGGGAGCTACTTTTGATTTGAGAGGTCAGGAAAGGTTTTGCTGAAGAGAAGACATTAAAGCTCAGAGCTGAGTGACACACCTCGAGTGGCATTCAGGAGACATCCACACTTCCCGGATGAAAATCCTTTAGTGACTTCCCAAAGTTCTCAGGATATGAGTCCATATTTCACAGCATGGCAGCGAAGGTCTTCTGGCATCTGGCCAATTGTCTTCCTCTCCAGCTTCTTTACATCACATGACATTAATGCATTTAATCCTCACAAGCACCTTGTAAAACAGCAGCTAAGCTGGCTGAGTTCTCTGATGGTCTGATTCATCTTTGTACTGTCACTGCATTAGTAGTTGGCCCAACAAATGTTCATTAAACAAGCAAGGTGTTGGACAAAAAGCATGGATGCTTAAGGCAGGTCTAGACTGGCGCTCAACAAAAATAAGGTAATTCACATTTGCAATTTAAAATTTCCTCGTAGCTACATTAGGAAAGTAGAAGCAACACATGAAGTTGTCGTAATATTTTATTTATCCAAATATATCCAAAATATTATCAGTTTAACATGTGATTCATATAAAGTTAATGAGATATTTTACATTCTTTTTTTCATTCTCAGTCCTCAAAATCTAGTGTGTGTATTTCACACTTACATCACATCTCAATTCGGACTAGCCACTTTCCAATAAAGCTCAGCAGTCCCGCGGGGTGGCTCACGCTTGTAATTCCAGTGCTCTGGGAGGCGGGGGCAGGTGGAGCGCTTCAGGAGTTCGAGACCAGCCTGGGCAACATGGGGAGACCCCCGTTTCCACAAAACAAAACAAAAACCAAAAAAATTAGTGGTGTGAACCTTTGGTCCCAGCTACTCAGGAGGCTGAGGTGGGAGGATCGCTTGAGCCCAGGAGTTCCAGGCTGCAACAAACTATGATAGCGCCACTGCACTCCAGCATGGGCGATAAAGTGAGACCTTGTCTCCAAAAATAAAAATAAAAATAAAAACAAAAATACAACAACAACAACAACAACAAATCCCAGAAGTGCTCAGCAGCCACATGTGGCTAGTGGCCACCTCCCCAGAAGCAGCCCGGGCACTCACCACCTACCACTTTTTACCTATTTCACCTTCTCCGAAGGCCTGCCTAGCACTACCAGTTGTTTGTTGTCTTACTTCTTGGCGAGTCCTTTGTGACTCCCACTACACAAGCCCCTCAAGGCCAGGCCTCCCCCTGAACGGCGCCCGGGCAGAGCAGACGCTCCATCAACGCTGTCCCCGCCAGAGTCCGCGTCCAGGGGATCCGCAGGCCCCGTACTGTTTCCACGCGCCGGGGCTGCCCCTCGCCCGGCCTCCCGCAGGCCCACCCCTCGCCAGGCCCAGGCCCATCCCCGGAATGTTCGCTGGAAATCGTGGACGTGACTGGGAGGAGCCTGCCCGCCCCGACTCTCTCTCGGCGCCGCGCGCACAGGGGCCGCCCAGCGACCATGGCGGAGCCCACGGTGTGCTCCTTTCTCACCAAGGTGCTGTGCGCCCACGGCGGCCGCATGTTCCTGCGGGACCTGCGCGGCCACGTGGAGCTGTCGGAGGCCAGGCTCCGGGACGTGCTGCAGCGCGCCGGGCCCGAGCGTTTCCTGCTGCAGGAGGTGGAGACCCAGGAGGGCCTCGGGGACGCGGAGGCCGAGGCGGCGGCCGGCGCGGTGGGCGGTGGCGGCACCTCCGCCTGGAGGGTTGTGGCCGTGTCCTCTGTGCGCCTCTGCGCCCGCTACCAGCGCGGCGAGTGCCAGGCCTGCGACCAGCTGCACTTCTGCCGCCGGCACATGCTGGGCAAGTGCCCCAACCGGGACTGCTGGTGAGAAGGCGACGGCGGGCGGGGACTGTGGGCGCTGGCCGCGGGCCTGGCCGTCCGGCTGGAAGCGGGAGCGACGGGAAGCGGGGCTTCGTCCCGGCCGGGGCCGGGGACGCGGGGCTGGACGACCCCCTCCCGCAGGCCTTTCCCGGGGCGGCCTCCCCAGCGCTCCCAGCAGCTGGGCGGAAAGGCGCGAAGGTCCTCTCCATGGAGACGGCTCTACCGCCCCCGCTAGAAAAGTTGCTGCCCCCGCCCCCCGGATCCTGCGCGACGCGGCCGGGTCAAATCCGGACTGGGACTTTGGAGTTCACTTACTCCGGTGATCTTTGGCGGGAGGTGGGGGGCAAGGGGCGTCTGAGGATCCCGTGAGATCCCTGGACCCTTTATCCGGAAATCGCCCGTTCCCCCATATCCACACACTTTTGCAGAAGCGGGTCTGCGCCCTCTAGGTTTAACAGCGCTGAGCCAGTCTCAGCCCAGGAAACAGGCCTGCAGGGCTTGGGTGAGGCCCTGTGGCTCCTGACTGCCAGAGCTGGGGTTCGGGGCTGCCTCCTGACCCCAGGCTGTGCTTCCGATCCCCGAATTTTCCTTGGTTGTCTCTAGCCACACACACCGCCAAAGCGGTGCTGGGGATAGGGGCGCTTTCTTTTTAACGTTGGTGGACTGTGGGGGTGGGCAGCTGTTGCCTACAGAACAGATGCGCATCCTCAGGCGAGGTGCAGGTGGGCGACCCTTGGCTTCAAAGCGTTCCTACTGAAAATTCAAATGACCCTGGGAGAGGAGTTGCTTCAACCCAACTTTCTTATTTTCCATCAGTGCTTATTAGGCCATGCTATCCCTGGTTTCATGAAAATTATTCAACTTCACATGTATTAAATAAATTGAAAGCTGTTCAAGGCAATGAATTGGACAGACTGGTCCTTCTTCACCTGGACATCTGACCGAGGACTTTGTTATTTTAGGTCTACCTGTACCCTTTCCCATGATATCCACACACCTGTCAACATGCAGGTGCTGAAAAACCATGGACTTTTTGGTCTCAATGAAGCCCAGCTTCGGATCCTGCTTTTGCAGAATGACCCTTGTCTTTTACCAGAGGTGAGTCACCAAGGAGTCACCCTCATGTCACATTCGTTACAAGTACTTTCCCCCATTTGCTTTTCTTTTGGCTTTAGATATTTTAATTGCTTTGAAGCAACATGATTCTGTTTCACATGCTTTAAAGGTACCCTTTATAATTACTATCATGGCAAAATAGTATGTTTGTTTGGGTTTAGCCATATACAAAGAAGTTTTAAAAACAACATAGTACAAATCCCAAGAGAAAATTGGAACATCAATTAAGACCACCAATTAAAAGTAAGATTTTCTAATCTAGCACAGTGATGCTGTCATAGACACCTCCACTTGGCCAGAAGAGGGATGGAAAGAAGGGAAGATGTTGAGAAAACAGAGGATAGTTCATAATTGTGGCCCGATTTTCACTCTAAGGCATTTCAGAGTCTAGAATGGAAGATAGCCACAAGACTAGAGGTAGGAGCTGGAGCCTTTGGTGCAGGTGGCAGAGGCTGCTCTCAAGGCAGCAGAATCTGTACCCCGAGGGCAGTCCTGGAGTTGATCTCAGGAACAAGGAGGTTTCTTCCTGACATGTGTAACCTGTTTCATTTCTTCGAGCACTGAAGTCAAGTCTGGTACATCATGGTTTTGAGCCAGATGCATTCCAGCCAACCATGTTGCCTGAAATAGATCCAAGCAGTAGCTGAAGCAGGTTATTGGCAGGAAGGGTGAGGAGGGTGGCTGCAGCTATGAGGCTGGGTCCAGTCCTTCCTCTCTCAGAGAGGAGGTGTGGTGCTGCTGCTATTTGCCTTTTAATTTTGTACTTTTTGATTTATAGAAGTTTAGTATTTTTATTTTGTCAAATCTATCGAATTTTTTTTGGTGTGCTCTTTTTTGGGGTGTATCCTGGGCCCAGCCTCACCTTGTCATATTAGACTACTTAAGTGTTTTGTGAGCAGCTGAGGGGTTGGTTGCACTAACAACAGGAGCCTCCCCCCTGCCTCCACTTGTTCCCATCACCTGGGACTGGAAGTAGGTGACATATGGTACAAAATGTGACCATGTGGACAGCAGGGACCATGGAAGAACACAGCGCATGAGGCATGAATGGTGCCTCATATCTCTTGTATGAAATGCCTGATGATTGCTTTTACCACTCTCTCAATAAAAAAGACAGTAGACAAATAAGTTTCATGCTGGTGCATTAATGGACAAATTTCTAGAAAAATATAGCTCGTCAAAATGGGTTCAAGAAGAAATGGAAAGCCAAAATAGTCTCATAAAAATTTTTAAAATAAAAGCATTAAACACACCTCAAAGCATTAGAAGGCTTGCACAAGAAAACATCAGACTTACATAGTTTTTTGTTTTTTGTTTTTTTTTTTGAGTCAGGGTCTTACTCTGTTACACAGGCCAGAAGTACCTTGGCTCACTGTTGCCTCTGCCTCCTGAGTTCAAGTGATTCTCCTACCTCAGCCTCCTGAATAGTTGGGACTATAGGCATGTGCCACCATGCCCAGCTAATTTTTGTACTTTTTGGTGGAGACAGCATTTCACCGTGTTGGCCAGGCTGGTCTTAAATGCCTGACCTCAAGTGATCCCCCTGCCTTAGCCTCCCAAAGTACTGGGATTACAGGTGTGAGCCACTGTGCCTGGCCAGGCTTATGTAGTTTTACAGTTGAATTCTATCAAATTTTTGTCTGTATTGACGTATAGTTGACAAAAATTTTATATTTACGGTGTATAATGTGATATTTTAATATATTTACATTGTGAATTGATTGCAATGATTAAGCTAATTGGCGTACCATTACTTCACATAGCTATTATTTTTTGGGTGTGGTAAGGACAGCAATTTTCAGGTATACAGTATGTTATTTTTTTCTAAATTTCTTTTCTTTTCTTTTCTTTTTTTTTTTTTTGAGATGGAGTCTCACTTTGTCATCCAGGCTGGAGTGCAGTGGCGCGATCTCGACTCACTGCAAGCTCCGCCTCCCGGGTTCACGCTGTTCTCCTGCCTCAGCCTCCTGAGTAGTTGGGACTACAGGCGCCCGTCACCCTGCCCAGCTAATTTTTTGTATTTTTTTTAGTAGAGATGGGGTTTCACCATGTTATTCAGGATGGTCTTGATGTCCTGACCTTGTGATCCGCCTGCCTCGGCCTCCCAGAGTGCTGGGATTACAGGCGTGAGCCACTGTGCCCGGTCATTACGTTATTATTAACTACAGTCACCATGCTGTACAGTGGATTTCCAGAAATTCATCCTGTCTAATTGAAACTTTGTTCCCTTTGACTTACATATCCCTATTCTCCTTAATTCTAACAAATCTATAAGGAACAGGCTGTTCCAATATTTGGAGTAGGTCTAGGATCTATTTTTCATGATCTCCAATTCTTGAACCACTATCATACTAAAGTAGTTTATCTTTCATTTTTAAAGTTTATTTATTTACTCTTTTTAAGACATGGTCTCGCTGTGTTGCCCCGGCTGGAGTGCAGAGGCAGGGTTTTGCCATGTTGCCCAGGCTGGTCATAGCTCACTGCAACCTCGACCTCCTGGGCTCAAGCAATCCTTGCATTTCAGCCTCTCTAGTAGCTGGGACTACAGGTGTTCATCACCACACCCAGCTACTTTTTTTTGTTTTGTTTTTTTGAGACTGACTCTTGTTCTGTAACCCAGGCTGGAGTGTAGTGGTGTGATCTGGTTCACTGCAATCTCCAACTTCCTGGTTCAAGCGATTCTCCTGCCACAGCCCCCTGAGTAGCTGGGATTGCAGGCGCTTACCACTATACCCAGCTAATTTTTTGTATTTTGAGTAGAGATGGAGTTTGTCGTTTTGGCCAGGCTGGTCTTGAACTCCTGACCTCAAATGATCCGCCCACCTCGGCCTCCCAAAGTGCTGGGATAACAGTTGTGAGCCACAGTGCCTGGCCTCCAGATACTTTTTTTTGTTTTGTTTTGTTTTTGTTTGTTTTGTAGATAGAGTCTTGCTCTGTCACCCAGACTGGAGTGCAGTGGCGTGATCTTAGCTCACTGCAACCTCCGCCTCCCAGGTTCAAGCAATTCTCGTGCCTCAGCCTCCCAAGTAGCTGGGACTACAAACATGTGCCACCATGCCTAGCTAATTTGTTGTGTTTTTAGTAGAGACAGGGTTTCGCCATGTTGCCCAGACTGGTCTGAAACTCCTGAGTTCAGGCAATCTGCCTGCCTCGGCCTTCCAAAGTGTTAGAATTACAGGCGTGAGCCGGTGTGCCCCGCTGACTTTTTAAATTTTTTTGTAGAGACAGGCTCTTGCTGTGTTGCCTAGGCTGGTCTCGAACTCCTTGGCTGAAGCAGTTTGCCATCCTGGGTCTCCCAAACTGCTAGGAGTATAGCCATGAGCCACTGTGCCTGGCTGATTTTGTTTGCTTGTTTAATCAATTCATGTTTCCTTTTCCAGATAAGCTTTAGAATCACTTAAATTCGTAAAACTATTTTAAAGGAATTCTTTGAGAAGGGTAGGAATTGTATTAAAGTTATGAATTTATTTTAGAAAATTGGCATCACAATTATAAATAGGATGCTATTTCGTTTTAAACCAGGTCATCTGTGTCTTGTAGGATTTCCCATATTTTAGATTTGACTGATTACATTCCTGTAGTACTATTGAACATGTTCCTGTATCCCTCAAATTTTGGCCAGGTTTAGGATTTATTTTACTTAATTTAATTTATTTATTTATTTTTGAAACGGAGTCTCACTCTGTCGCCCAGGCTGGAGTGCAGTGGCACAGTCTTGGCTCACTGCAACCTCCATCTCCCCAGTTCATGTGATTCTCCTGCCTCAGCCTCCTCAGTAGGTGGAATTACAGGTGTGTGCCACCATGCCTGGCTAATTTTTGTATTTTTAGTAGAGTTGGGGTTTCACCGTGTTGGCCAGGCTGGTCTTGAATTCCTGACCTCAGGTGATCCTTCTGCCTTGGCCTCCCAAAGTGCTGGGATTACAGGTGTCATCCGCCACGCCTGGCCAGGATTTATTTTATAGCAGGATTTTTTTTTACATGTGGAGCATTGTTAGGGTGACTCACCATCCCATTTGCCTGGGACTGAGGGGTTTCTGGGGATGTCAGACGTTCATAGTAAAACCTGGACAGTTCTATTTCCTGTTGCATCACATCGGGAGGCACATAATGTCATCCTTGTGTGAGAGGCTAAGACTGATGTGTGGTTTCAGGGTCAACAGCCTGATCCCATCATTATAAAGTTCCCCATCAGTGTGGTCTTGGTGTGTCTGGGATAGACCCAGTTTGTCTGAGTTGTCCCAGGGTGATTATTAATAGTGCTCCCTTGCACCCTAAAAATGCCCTTGTCTGGATCATAAATTATATCTTTGTGCCACCCGTTGAAATTGCTTTCCCTGGAAGCAGAGCCTGAGATAGAGACCGAGGTGCATGTGATGTTTTTTGAGGGTGGGCTTTTCAGGAAAACCCAGTATGGGAGAGAGGGAAGCAGGGTCTAAGGAAGGAAGAGCTACAATCACATTAGATCTGGCCTTGACTTGATTCATGGGGAGCTGTGGAACAAAGATCACACCGAGTCTAGCTTTGAGGCACTTCAGCATTTTTTTAGCTTTGTCTAAGTCATTCATTGGCTATAGGCCTTGGGGGCAGAGGGCAGGTCAGCTGAGAGTGTAAAGTAAGAGAGGGGCAACTGTGAGTCATGAGCAGCCAGTACCCACAGCAGCTGGAGTATGGTTAGCACCACTGCGCTGTCATCAGGCTTTCACCCCAAGACTTTAACAGCCACTGGTGATCAGAAGGAGTCATTTAGTCTTAGTTTAGTTAGAGAAGCTATAGTTTATTGGCTTGGAGTGAAAACTAATATAGGCTGGGTGTGGTGGCTCACACCTGTAATCCCAGCACTGTGGGAGGTTGAGGCGGGCAGATTGCCTGAGGTGAGGAGTTGGAGACCATCCTGGCCAACATGGTGAAACCCTGTCTCTACTAAAAATACAAAAATTACCTGGCTGTGGTGGTGAACGCCTGTGGTCTCAGCTACTCAGGAGGCTGAGGCAGGAGAATCGCTTGAACCCAGGAGATGGAGGTTGCAGTGAGCCAAGATGGTGCCACTGCACTCCAGCCTGGGTGACAGAGCGAGACTCCATCTCCCAAAATAAATAAATAAATAAATAAATAAATAAATAAATAAATAAATAAATAAATAAAATAAAACTAGTATTTCAGGTGTTGCCTCATTTCTGTACCAGGTCTGTTTGCTCTACAACAAAGGGGAAGCCCTCTATGGCTACTGCAACCTGAAGGATAAATGCAACAAGTTTCACGTGTGCAAATCCTTTGTCAAGGGAGAGTGCAAACTCCAGACCTGCAAACGGTCCCATCAGCTTATCCATGCTGCATCCTTGAAGCTGCTGCAGGACCAAGGACTGAATATTCCAAGTGTTGTTAATTTTCAGATAATCTCCACCTACAAGCATATGAAGCTGCACAAGATGCTTGAAAATACAGGTAGGAAAATCCAAGGAGGACAGAGAAGTATCAGAGATATAGTTTTGGGCTGCTTCACTGTAAAGAAATAACACTGACATGAAAGTGAGTCAGGGGGCAAAGCAGTTCCTATGTTAATTTCAGCTTTGTTCTTGGGAAAATTTAGAACAGGCAACATTTTATTGTGTAGAATGGTGATCCTAACCAAAGGAGGAAAGGGATGGAGTTTATCTTTAGCACTGTCACTGCCAGCTACTAGAATCTACCCAAGTGATTGAGCAGTAGCTTATTGGTAAATTGGATGTCAGGTTTTTTATTGAGACGGAGTCTTGGTCTGTCGCCCAGACTGGAGTGCAGTGGCACGATCGTGGCTCACTGCACCTCTGCCTCCTGGGTTCAAGTGATTCTCCTGCCTCAGCCTCCCGAGTAGCTGGGACTACAGGCATGTGCCACCACGCCCAGCTAATTTTTGTGTTTTTAGTAGAGACAGGGTTTCACCATGTTGGCCAGGATGGTCTCAATCTCTTGACCTCATGATCTGCCTGCCTCGGCCTCCCAAAGTGCTGGGATTATAGGCATGAGCCACACGCCTGGCCCGGTAGAACAGTTTTAACAACATGATTAGGAAAAAGAGGAAGGAGATGGACCAGTGACTGGAAAAGTAAGATTAATGTAGGGATGACTTTCTTTTCATAAATAGAATTTTTGGCTTTGTTAATTTTTAAGTAATTTTGATGACATTATAGAACAATTTGGAAAATAGCAACTGGAAATGCAAATTGTATATGATTTTGCTCACTCTACTATACTTGTTACAATTTTATTATAGGCCATTTAGTTCTGTTATATACAAACACGAATCCAGTTGTGCTCAAAGTACATGCTAATTTAATATCTTAAATTTCTACTTTATACAACTTATTTTCTCATCTTGCTAGGAATATTGCATATTCCCATTATAAATATATTCCCATAGTCTTTCAGTAATTTTTGTTATTGTTTTTGGAGACAGAATCTTGCTCTGTTGCCTAGGCTGGAGTACAGTGGTGCAGTCATGACTCACTGCAGCCTGGAACTCCTGGGCTCAAGTGATCTTTCTGCTCAGCCTCCCTAGTAGCTGGAACTATAGGCACATGCCACCATGTCCAGCTGTTTTTTTTTTTTTAATTTTTCTTTTGTAGGTACAAGGTTTTGCTGTGTTGACCAGGCTGGTTTTGAACTCCTGGGCTCAAGCAGTCCTCCAGCCCTGGCCTCCCAAAGTGTTGGAATTACAGGCGTGAGCCACTGCACCTGGCCTTTAGTAGTTTTTTAAAGTCTACAAAGTGTGATTTGGTGTTATTTTAATTATAATGCATTCGGTTACTTATTCTGTTACATTTGCTGGTACCTGAAAATCAGTGGGTGGTAGGCTTAGGAGAATTGCTGTTGGGAAAAGTAAATCACCAAAAGTGGAGTTGCTAAACTTTCACCATGCTAAGCTTTTCATGTGTTGGGATGTCAGTGTCAGACGTAGTGAGTGCAGGCAGGGAGGGCTCTGCATATACCAGTGTCAGGGCTGTTTAGGGAACCGTGAGTGGTGGCAGGTTGGCAGGTACCTTCTACCCTATGCTATGGCTAGGGTCTGTCACTGTCTTCATCTGGTTTTGCTTGGTGAGTCTCTCCTGTGACATAATGACTTTCCGCTTGCTCTCTCTCTCTCTCTATTTTTTATACACAAACACACACGTAATTTTTTAAAATCCAGAAGACATGAACTCTCCAAATCCAGGTGTTGGGAGTCTTGTCTGATGTCTGGGCAGCTGGGCTGTTGCTCTCAACATAAAATGAAACTTGGGGTATCATAGGAAAACTTATCCCTTTCTTCTTTGTAGAGAATTCATCGCCTTCTACTGAGCATTCACAAGGCCTTGAGAAGCAAGGAGTGCACGCGGCTGGAGCTGCGGAAGCCGGTCCTCTGGCTTCTGTCCCTGCTCAGTCGGCTAAGAAGCCCTGCCCAGGTAAACCTTAAAGGGGGTCAGTGAACTAAGAAGAAGCTTGTCCAGCTTGGAAGATCTGAAAACAAGCCTTCTGTTTAGCTTTAATTTGTCACCATTCATTCATTTAATGATAGATTTGTAATGGTCATAATAACATCTACCTCACAGTGTGTTGTGAGAAGTAAAGAAGATGGAAAAGGAGAAAATGTCCTTTTGGAAGAATACAGTTGGGCATGGGTGGTTGGGGATGGGGTTGGATGTTGAGCAGGCAAAGAGGCTAAAATTGAGTGCAGATGGGGCCAGTCCAGGGCAAGTGCTGAAGATTGCAGCTTCTACCTGCAGTTCCTAGGTGCTTTCCTCAGGCTGGGTGGATGGAGCTCTACTGACTTTTGTGGTCTACCATAGTTTTTCTGTCAGTTTATATTGTGGCAATCATACAGTACTTTGCACACTTTTTTTTTTTTTACTTAATATTGTTTCATAAGCATCTTTCTATATTTGTTCACATCATACATAATCATGTTTTTGCACAGATACATTAATATCTCATAGTTTATTTAACTACTTGCCTTTTTCTAACAATTTTTTTTTGAGATGATCTTGCTCTGTTGTCCAGGCTGGAGTGCACTGACGTGATCTCAGCTCACTGCAGCCTTGATTTCCTGAGCTCAGGTGATCCTCCCACCTCAGCCTCCTGAGTAGCTGGGACTACAGGTATGCACCACTACTGGCTAGTTTTTTGTATTTTTTTTGTAGAGAGGGTATTTTGCCATATTGTCCAGGCTATTATTGAACTCCTGGGCTCAAGCAATCTGCCTGCCTCAGCCTCCCAGGGTGCTAGGATTACAGGCGTGAGCCACTGCACTCAGCCTCTAACAAAGTTTGAATATAACTCCTGTCTTAAAATCTGCAGAATATTGAATTTTTCCAGCTATTTTTTACTTTTGCTTAGCTTATAGATGGTAAAGGATACCGTCATTTGCATTTTTAAAAATATATATATGAGTGAATAGTTTTCTGGTATCTGCTTTCTGATTGTCCTTATTTTTTCATTTTACATTTGGCCTTTTATTAATGGGGTCCTCATCTATGCTGATGTGGGACAGCCTTTAATGAGGCTTCACAATTTTCATGAAAGGGCCTCAGCAATACTGTGTTTGGATGATACTCAATTTTTGTAGGTCCATCCTCAGCCAATAGTACAGAGTATATAACCTTTGGGTTCTCTCCAGAGACTTCTACCTCACTCTGTCTACTCTTTTTTTTTTTTTTTTTTTGAGACAGTTTCACTCTTGTTGCCCAGGTTGGAGTGCAATGGTGCAATCTCAGCTCACCATAACTTCCACCTCCTGGGTTCAAGCGATTTTCCTGCCTCAGCTTCCCAAGTAGCTGGGATTACAGGCATGTGCCACCACGCCCAGTTAGTTATGTATTTTTAGTAGAGACGAGGTTTCACCTTGTTGGTCAGGCTGGTCTCGAACTCCTGACATCAGGTGATCCGCCTGCCTCGGCCTCCCAAAGTGCTGGGATTACAAGCGTGAGACTGTTTCTACTCTTCATCTCTTAGTGAACTTTTACTAAAGCCCAGTTGCTATAGTTTGAAGGATGGGCAGTTTATCCATTCCTTTAAATTGGATCCATTCTTCCTGTGGCTCAGCATGGACCATCAGAAGTCTGTATACCTCACCCGTTTCATATTCCCTTTCCCCTTTCTCCTTTCCTTCCTACTCTCCACCTACCTAGCTATGTTCATTGAGTTACATTTCAATATTTTGTGGTTTATCTTCATCAAGGGGTACCACAAGAAGCAGCTTTATGAAATTAAATTTTTTGTTCTGTTTATTGTAGTTATCCCCAAATGTCACTGTGTAAATTGTTGTTGTTTTTTTAAAATTCAACTGCCCTGCAGTAACATAACATTTGAGAAACAGAGACAATGTAATAAGTTTTCATAAAGCTAAATTAATGTAGAGAAATTTTTATCATGAAATGCTATCTCTTCAATTGGGGGAAAAGCAAAAGTGTCCTTTTTAAAGTGAGAAATGGCCGTGTTTTCTCCTAATCGATAGTAAGAGTCATCCCACTTGTGTTGACCTTTTTACTTTCATTGTCAGCAATATTTCTGAAAGCCCTTATGCTCTGCATATTTTGTTTCTTTTTTTCTAGTCCAGATTTCTTCCGGTGATAAGTAAAAAAATTATTTTTACATTTAATTATTACTAGTATTTACACTTATCATTTTACTAGTTGATTACTATTTACTAATCATTCACTATTTTTGTAGTGGGCTATCTTAAATCTTTAATGGAAACCGTGTAGGGTATAAATGCATTTCCTTTATATTGAGAGACTTGGTGGACCTTTGTTTATGTTCTGTTTTTATATCTTATCGTTATGCTTTTATATGTGAAGTTATTGGTCCTCTGTCATCTTTGTTGTAGTATTTTATTCAATTCTCTAATAGTCTACTTTAATCTTAGTTCTGTTGGTATTCATTCTGTAAAATATTTTATATAACCGTGCCTGTCTTTCTCTGATTTTCACTCATGATTCGGCTGTTAGAAAGTTACTGCGTTATAGTTGGAGAAGAGTTTTCTTTGGTAATTTATCGGGGTTTTTGATGTAAAGTCGCATGTCTGTAGACTCTACAAATTCAACATATTCTAAGTTGAATTATAAATTTCCCTCTAGTCTTGTTCCGCCTTTTATTTCCTTTTTTTTTTTTTTTTTTTTTTTTTTTGAGGCGGAGTGTAGCTCTGTCGCCCAGGCTGGAGTGCAGTGGCCGGATCTCAGCTCACTGCAAGCTCCGCCTCCCGGGTTCACGCCATTCTCCGGCCTCAGCCTCCCGAGTAGCTGGGACTACAGGCGCCCGCCACCTCACCCGGCTAGTTTTTTGTATTTTTTAGTAGAGACGGGGTTTCACCGTGTTAACCAGGATGGTCTCGATCTCTTGACCTCGTGATCCGCCCGTCTCGGCCTCCCAAAGTGCTGGGATTACAGGCTTGAGCCACCGCGCCCGGCCCTTATTTCCTTATTTTTGAATGTCACCACTATCTACCTAATGGCATAGGCAAAAAGCCGTAAATTGTCCTATACTTTTCTTTCTCCTTGTTCCCTTTGTCAAATTGGTTACCCAGTGTTGGAGAGTTTCTTCCCCTCAAAAGCCTTTCAAATATTTATCCTTCTCTGCCCCTTTCTTTCCACCCCGTACTTACTGCCTTGTTTCAAACCCTCATCACCTTCCCGCATATATCCCACAGATGCATAAACTCCGTGGTTTTCAAGACATGTGTTACGGGAGTTTTTGGTAAAAGGTGCCCTGTTCCCACTGCAGTGATGGTAGCCCTGTTTTAATCTTTAATAGAATAGGCTTTTTCGATTTCACTGTTCTTCTTGCCACTCTTCACTTCTCCCGCCTTCCATCTGGCTGCCTGATGTTTTGAAAGCAAACCTAATCATACGGCTTTTTTCCTGCTGAAACCTTCCTTGGTCCTCATCATGTAGGGTAGTATTCCTAAATTCAGACGCCTGCAGGGACTAGAAAGGTGAGTTAAATGGATGAAGTGAACTGGATGCAAGAGAAATGGGAGAAGGGAGAAGTGCTGTGGCAAACTGTCCCATCTAAAAGGGATGCCTGCCTCTTGTATCCATGTGGGAATGTGGGCCCACTTTGTCATATTGCCCAGTTTTTTAAAAAGAAGCCAGAAATTCAGATTGTTGTGAGACATTCTCTGATTGAATATTGACTTTAGTCGAGTTTTTAAAATGCAGACCAACATTGTATGTACTTGACCTACTTGGAATTTCTGGAATGTGCTATTTCATCTTGTGATTCTCTGTAAATGATGTTCCCTGTTTTTTTTTTTTTTTTCCTTTGAGATGGAGTCTCACTGTGTCGCCCAGGCTGGAGTGCAGTGGCATGATCTCGGCTCACTGCAACCTCTGTCTCCCAGGTTCAATCGATTCTCCTGCCTCAGCCTCCCGAGTAGCTGGGATTATAGGTGTGCACCAGCATGCCTGGCTAATTTTTGTATTTTTAGTAGAGATGGGGTTTCACCATGTTGATCAGGCTGGTCTTAAACTCCTGACCTCAGGTAATCTGCCCACCTCGGCCTCCCAAAGTGCTGGGGTTATAGGCGTGAGCCACTGCACCCAGCCTGATATTCCCTCTTTTATAAGTGTCATTCCTTCTTCCTTCTTCCTACCTTACAACCTGGCAAAATTGGATTCTTCAGAATGCCAGGTTGGCCTTTCTTGACTCCAAAAGAGGTGGCTCTTGTAGCATTCTTACAGGCCTAGCATAGCACTTACTTTATGTTGCAATGCTGTGTGTTTTTACTCCCTAGCTGTGAGCAAAATATTATTTATTCTTGGTAATTGTAACACTTAATAGTGAAGACATATTTTTTTTTGCCATATAATGGATTATACTTTGTATTTGAATCCACGTGAATCAGTAGCATATTGGTCTTCATTGTTTTTCCTCCTTCTCCTGTGTTTTTTTGAGACAGGGTCTTGCTCTGTTGCCCAGGCTGGAGTGCAGGGCACAATTATCGCTCTCTATAACCTTGATATCTTGGGCTGAAGCCATCCTCTTGCCTCAGCTTCCCTAGTAGCTGGGACTATAGGTGCATGCCACCATACTCAGCTAATTTTTTTAGGTTTTTATTAGAGACAAGGTCTCACTATGTTGCCCAGGCTGGTCTTGAACTCCTAAGCTCAAGCAGTCCTCCCGCCTTGGCCTCTTAATGTGCTGGGATTACAAGCATGAGCCACTATGCCTAGCCATATTTTTTCCAATATTAAAAAATCTTTTTTCCCCCTAAGGAATGTGTTCTATAAGGTCAACATCTTTTTAGTGCTTCAATTTGACTTGTCTACATCTAAAGTTAACTCTTTCAGACTTACATATATGATAGTAATTCTTTCCACTGAGGGATTTAGTCTCCATTATTATCACGTTTCTTGATTTTTTTTTCATTCTACTTGGTTCTTTTTGTCTAGGTTTTATATATACCTTAATTCTTTCTTGGCTGTTTTATATTTATGTTGCTGTCAGCATGGGAATCTCTATTATTAGAAAGCTATTAACTTTTAAAATATGTATCTTTTGGTGATTGTCTTTGTTCTAACAGTTTTAGATGGTCTATTTGCTTTTTCTAAATATAAAATCATAGGTATTTCTATTTTATTTTTGTGTTTCATAAAATTGTAATGATTTTTTTGATATTTCTTCATTACATATGAAGTTAATTGTTGGTTTTAAACAAATGTTCTTTGTTAGGATAACAGAAATAACATCTTCTATTCTTGTTTGTTGAAAGTTAAAAGCTTAATAAAAGGAATTGGTGTTTTTTGATACAATCATATTTTTATCACTTAAATTGCTTAATATGATTAAAATAAGGGTTTTTGTAATACTAAAACATCCTTAAATTCCTGAGATAAAACTCTGCCTGGTTATAGTATATGTTCTTTTAATGTATTATCTTTCCTATTTGCTGTACATCTATACTTTCATAAATAAAATTCATTTATATTTTATGTGTTTATGTAGTAATTTCCTTTTTATTTTTACTGGCATAT